CTCTGCGCAGGGAGTGTCCGAGGTGGGAAGGGGGGGGGGGGGGACTCACTGCCAGGCCCACTGGCAGGATGGGGCGGCTCCCCAACACGTGCCTCCTGACCCGCGTCCTAGGTCCCTGGTTCCTGCCTATCCACAGGCTGTCCTTGGGGGCAGGTTCTGGTCCCTGGACCAGCTACAGTCCCATGCTGCCTGCAGCATCCAGAGCAGCCACCGTGTGTGAGACCAGGCCTGCCCCAGGCGTTAGAGATGTGGCGTCTGTCCACCCCAGCCTCCCCCTGGAGGAAGCCTCATCGTCCCCGTTTCAGAGTAGGACGTGGGTGCAGGGACTTTGCTGGGGCCACATGGCTAGTACGCTAGAGCTTAGTGTGCCCCCCAGCCCGGGGTAGTGCCAGGGCCTGCCAAGTGTGCACGGCCATGGAAGGCCTGCTGGGGGCTGACCTGGGTAAAGCAGGCCGCCCTTTCCCAAGGTGGGCACGAGAGTGGTCCCCAGAGCATCCCTTCCTTTACAGGGGAGGTTCAGGGTGCTCATCCTCCAGGCATGTCCTCATTGGCCAAAGGAAGTGGGACCAATGAAAGTGAGGGCCCCCAACGTGCACTGGGGGAGCCTCGCGTGGGCTGCGTGAGGATTTGGGGAGTTTGATGGTGAGAGGGCTGGTTCTGGGACAGGACCAGGTACACACGCAGCACAGCGCCCCCCTGGGCCCGGCCTGGCGGCTTCCCTGAGGATGCAGACGGCCTGGAAGGAAGCCTAGGTGCCGCACCTTGACCAGGAGTAGGTGGAAGTGAGGGGATGTGCACTTATTGAGCACCCCTGTATACACCCCCTGGGAGCCAGGAGGTTCCATAGAGGGGAGAGGAGGGTGAAGCGGCCCAGCCCAAGCCAGGACCAGACGGGCAGTGGATGAGGGGACGCCCTCTATCTCGCACTCCCAAGAGCCCCAGGAGCTTCACTGCCGGAGCCCAGGGGAGAGTCCCTGAGAGCTCTTTGGCTCCGCCCAAACCCACTGCAGATGCTCACGGTCCCTGGTGTCCCCAGGCCACCACGTGTGAGGGCTGCTGCTCGGAGCTGAGGCCTGGCTTGAGGAGGATGTCCCAGCCACCGGCCAGCTCCCGTCTGCACCATGAGTGATGAGCGGCGGCTGCCTGGCAGCGCGGTGGGCTGGCTGGCCTGTGGAGGCCTCTCCCTGCTGGCCAACGCGTGGGGCATCCTCAGCGTGGGGGCCAAGCAGAAGAAGTGGAAGCCCCTGGAGTTCCTGCTGTGCACGCTCGCGGCCACCCACATGCTCAACGTGGCCGTGCCCATCGCCACCTACGCCGTGGTGCAGCTGCGGCGCCAGCGCCCCGACTACGAGTGGAACGAGGGCCTCTGCAAGGTCTTCGTCTCCACCTTCTACACCCTCACCCTGGCCACCTGCTTCTCCGTCACCTCCCTCTCCTACCACCGCATGTGGATGGTCCGCTGGCCTGTCAACTACCGGTGAGTTCCTGGGCGTGTGCCCGTGTGCACCTGAACATCTGGTGTCCCTGGAGAGGCGGACGTGGGTGTCTGAGCGCGCAGGTATCCTCGGTGTGGGGACAGGGTCCCTGTGCAGTGTGCCGCACCCATGCTGTGCCAGGGTTGCAGGGGCGAGCGCGTGTAGGTGTACATGGGTGCGTACAGTGCAGAAGGGCTTGGCGAGAAGGACACATGACGATGTGCTGACTGCGGGGCTGGGGCAGTTGAGGACCCTCTGCCGGTCCCCAGGAACCCGTGGAGAGACCCTGTGAGTGACGCCGGGTCCCTCTGTCCTGCCCCCGCCCCATGCCAGGCTAAGCAACGCCAAGAAGCAGGCGGTGCACACGGTCATGGGCATCTGGACGGTGTCCTTCGTCCTGTCGGCGCTGCCTGCCGTCGGCTGGCACGACACGAGCGAGCGCTTCTACACCCACGGCTGCCACTTCATCGTGGCCGAGATTGGCCTGGGCTTCGGCGTCTGCTTCCTGCTGCTGGTGGGCGGCAGCGTGGCCATGGGCGTGGTCTGCACGGCCATCGCCCTCTTCCAAACGCTGGCGGTGCAGGTGGGGCACCGGGCTGACCGCCACGCTTTCACCGTGCCCACCATCGTGGTGGAGGACGCGCAGGGCAAGCGCCGCTCCTCCATCGACGGCTCCGAGCCCGCCAGGACCTCGCTGCAGATCACCGGCCTGGTGGCCACCATCGTCGTCATATACGACTGCCTCATGGGCTTCCCTGTGCTGGTGGGTGAGCCTGTCGGGTAGTAGGAGCCTGGGGGGGGGGGAACGTGGGCTCGGGGACAGCCCTGGGGCTGGGCGTGCTCCAGGCATTAGGCGGTTGAATCCTCACACCCGATCTTTTCAGGAGGCGTCCTCATCATCCCCATTTTACAGAGGTGGAAACTGAACTTCAGAGAGGTCAAATGACCCGCCTAAAGTCAGGGCATCCATGGTGGGATCTGAACCCATGTTAGGTGGCTGCAGAGACCAGGGTCTTTTGTCACACGGCAGGGGACTTTCCTGACCTGAGTGAGACCCATTTGATGCAGAGGGTATGGAAGGTGGGGTGACATGCCACAGGCTTCCTGGTGGGTCCAGATCCCAGGATGGACAGAGCAGGGATTTAGTGTGGCAGAATTGGCTTTGATCCTGAATCGGGAGGCAGGGCAGGCCTTGAATGTGTGCTGGGGAGTTGGACTTGATCCCAGGAGCTGAGGAAGGTCAAGGTGAGGGCTGGTCTGAAGACCCTGCCAGCAAGGGTCCAAGGTCCACGGAGGCTGCCTGGCGTCCTGTCCGTGAGGCTATGCCCCAGGCCTAGCCCAAGAATGACGTCTGGACTCAAAGACAAGCCCTCCCACTGATAGGGCTCCAGCCCTGCCCCTGAAGGCTATGGAGCTGGACAGGGAAGGGTCTAGGGGCAAGGACCAGATAGAGGCTTCATCCTAGCAGCTGGGCAGGGAGTCACTGCAGGACCCAAGCTCCAGAAGGTGACAGGTGGTGTGGCAGCCTCATAGTCAGGGGTGACCTTCTGCCCCACCCTCAGTGGGCCAGGTACCCCCCAGGTAGAGTCCTCCTGTGTGCAGTGGGGCCTGGTGTCCCCAGTCCCTTGCTGATAGAGGGAAGATGCGTGTGTGAAATTGCAGAGCCAGACGGGAATGGCAGTGGGGGAAGGGCCCCCCAGCTTCTCTTCAGGGCCGTTTGTGGAACCCACTCCATGCTGCGGGCCTGGTACGGTGTCTGGAATCTTTACCTCACCCTGTGGGGTGTTCTTGGCCCATTTCACAGATGAGGAAACTGAGCCCCAGAGAGGTTTAGCATCTTTCTGAGGGTCACACAGCTCTCATGGAAGAACCAACATGATGTCTGCATCATGCCCACTTCTGCTCTGAAAGAGGAATAGTTATGTCACTCAGTGGGGGAATGAACTCTCCTGGGAGCAGAGGAATGAGGCGTCCTTAGGCGGTGACCCAAAGGCCACCTGGTTGGATCCTCTGTCCCCCAGAAACTACTTTGATTCTAGACCTCTGGGGTCTGAGGTCTAGACCCTCAGAGTAGGGGCAGGGCCAAGGAGGCCACTAGCCATGGAGCAGGGGGGATGGTAGAAAGGTCCCTGAACTGGGAGACTTGAGACCTGGCTCTCAAAAAGGGGCTGGTAATCCACGCCTTCTCCTCCTTGGGCGGTCACGGGCGAAATGAGGGAGGCCGTGCCCAGCGCTACCTGGTGCACTGTGAAGGTCTCTGCACACACGGGGCTGTGACTGTTCATCTTGGCACCAGCGGCTGTCGGTGGGCAGGGACTTCTCCCCTCACACTCTGTCTCTTTCCTGCCCAAAACCCCAGAGCTTTGTCCGTCTCCCCCTCCCCCTCTACCTCTCCCTCCCCCGCCTCCGGCAGGTGGGCAGTCAGACCTGCCCCACAGGTGGGAGAACTGAGGCTGGGAAGGGAAGCTGGGTGATGGGGGTCCTGCCGGGTGCCAGGCCCAGCCCTGTGCCCACAGGTGGTGAGCTTCAGCAGCCTGTGGGCTGACGCCTCGGCGCCCTGGATGGCACTGTGTGTGCTCTGGTGCTCAGTGACCCAGGCCCTGCTGCTGCCCGTATTCCTCTGGGCCTGCGACCGCTACCGTGCTGACCTCAAGGCTGTCTGGGAGAAGTGCATGGCCCTCATGGCCAACGACGAGGACTCGGGTGACGGTGAGGACAGTCTGAGCATGCCCCCCAGGGAGAGTGGCGCCTGGGTGAGGTCACTGGGGGTCCGCGGGATAACAGCTGTCAGAGCCCCCTTGTTCTACCCCAAAGGTTCTTAAACCCCTCAAGGACCCAAGCCTGGTGTCCCACAGGGCATTCCCCTGTATGGCTTGGCCGCCCCCAGGGTTCCAGTTAATCAGATGTTCTGGTTAACAGAGTGGCTGTGGACTGCAGCCTGAATGTGTTTTGTGGAGCTTCCAACCTTAGGGGTCCTGGCGAACTGCCCCAGGGCTCCTGTAGACCGGTCCTGTCTCCCTGCCAGCGGTAATAATGTGACCCTGGGCTGAGCCCTTGCCACCTGCCAGGCAGTGTCAGCTCCTTGTGTCTATTTAGTTCTCACCCCCATAGAGGAGGAAACTGGCTCAGGGTCTGTGACTTCCCCAGGCCCTCAACTAAAAGGTGGCAGAGTCAGGATCTGAATAGAGGACCCCGCCCTTCTCCTTCTCTGTTAACCAGCCCACCAGCCCTGCGTGTGTCTCTGGGGGTCCCTGGGACCCATTCCTGGATGCCCCCAAGTTTCCATGGCCCTAAGCTTCTGCCCCGCCCTGCAGAAACCAGCCTGGAAGGTGGCATCCCCCCAGACCTAGTGTTGGACCGCTCCCTGGACTACAGCTATGGGGGTGACTTTGTGGCCCTGGACAGGACGGCCAAGTATGAGCTCTCTGCCCTGGAGGGGGACCTGCCCCAGTTCTACCCTCTGCGGCCCTTGCAGGAGGACAAGATGCAGTACCTGCAGGTAGGGACAGCCAGGGCTGGAGACGCAAATATGCCTCTCCAAGGCCTTTCCTCTCTGAGCCCATCTCACGCCTGCCACAGCTCCTGGGGCTGGCCTTCATCCTCCCAAGATGGGCTGGCCCCAGGTCACAGAGCCTGTGCAGGTGGACCCATGGGCGGCACCCCAGCCCCTGTGCCCAAGTTCACTGGTGCTCTAGGAGGATGGTCCATTTGGTGCCTGGGTTGTTTCCTTGGGGCTCAGCACCCTACTCAAAGGGACTTCTCCCCAGCTGACCCAAGCTACAGATGACAACACTGAGGTTTGAAGAGATTGTCACTTGCCCCAAATCTCACAGCTCTAAACCAGGGTGCCCTGGACCAGGCCTGGTCCCTGACCTCAGGCGGCCCTGCCCGGTGACGGGAGGCTAGGTCCCCCTTTTCCAGGAGGGCAGCCCGGGTTAACCCCTTGGTCCTGACAGGTCCCGCCCATGCGACGCTTCTCCCACGACGACGCGGATGTGTGGGCCGCCGTTCCGCTGCCCACGTTCCTACCGCGCTGGGGCTCTGGTGAGGACCTGGACGCCCTGGTGCTGCCCGGCGGGCCCGATCGGTGCCGCGGCGGCCTGATGGCAGAGGACGCACCCCCCTTCCGCCCGCGCCGTCGCTCGGCCGAGAGCCTGTTGTCGCTGCGACCCCCGGCCCTGGACGACGGCCCGCGCCTCGCCCCCGTCTCGCCCCCCGGCAGCCCGCGCCGCCGCGCCGGGCCCGGCGCCCGCTGCGCCTCGGCCTCGCTGCTGCCCGACGCCTTCGCGCTGACCGCCTTCGAGCGGCAGCCACAGGCCCTGCGCCACCAGCCCGCCTCGCCGGGGCCCTTCCCCGTCCGCGCCCTGCCCCTCGACGGCGCCCAGGCCGGCGGGGACGCGGCGCCCCCTGGCGGCGGTGGCGGCGCGCAACGGAGCCCCGGGCCGCGCCCGGCCGCACACGCGCATTCCAGGACCCTGCGGACCGACCTGAGCGCGTCGTGGGGCGAACCCGGGGGCCTGCGCGCGGCGGGCGGCGGCGGCGGCGGCGGCGGCAGCATCAGCAGCTTCTTGAGCTCGCCCTCCGAGTCGTCGGGCTACGTCACGCTGCACTCGGACTCGATGGGTTCGGCGTCTTAGGGCCCGCCGGCGCCTCCCCCCAAGTCTCCAGGCGGACCGGGCCACCCACGGGGCCAAAGCTCCAAAGATGCCATCCTAACCCGGCCCAGGCTCGGGGCAGGCTACGCTGAGGCCGCCGGCGGCGCCTGGACTTGCGCTAGCCCTGACGGGGCGGCGGCTATCTGCCGGCCCGGAAGCGGCCATTGCCTGGAGGGGCAACGCCCGCCCCGGACGACCACACTGGGCACGGACCAGTCTCTGGGCAGGGCATCTCTGGGCAGAGTGAGGCTGGGGCTTGGGAAAAGGCGGGCTCCGCACGGGGCAGCTGGCTACCGCCGGACGGAACAAAGCCCAGCCCTGCAGGAGCCACCAGACTGCACCCGCTTCCCACTCGGCACCGTAATTGTCACACCTCAGGGGGTGGGGTACAGAGGGTCTGTAAGCACGGGGGTCTTCAGAGCCCAAACCAGGTTCTCTGAGCAGGTCTCCCTGCTGACTTGCTCTGCCTTGGTTTCCGCATCTGTGAGGAGCAGGTGACCATGTTAGCTCTCAGGACTGTCTGGACAAGTCTCCTGGTCCGTGTGCCCCGGCCGCCACCGAGGGGACAGGGAGTAAGAGTAGTGGAGGACCCTCCATGGGTCATTTGTGGTGCTCAGTTTTCAGGGGCCTGGCGTGGCCCCCAAGCCTGAGGCCTCCCACAGTGCCCCTGGCCCCCTTGAGAACTCTCCCCAGCCGAGCTAAAGCACAACACTTTCGCACCATCACCATTGGCACACACCCACCTTGGCCGCTATTAGCATCCCACCCTCGTCACTGTGCCTCCATTGCCTATGCACATGTCAGCCACCTCTGTGACTCCCACCACGAAGGTCGTGGGTACGTGGTGGAGAAGACTGAAGCAAAGGGGGAGCGGGCTTCCTTCTCCTGGTGCCAATCCCCAACCTGTGCAAGTCTGGCCAGGAAGGGATCTTGGCTTAGAGGCCTCCCAGCTTCTGGGTTCAAGGCCTGGTCCCTGGTAAGAGTCTTCCTCCACCCTGGGGCAGGGGTCTTCTTTTGCTCTCCATGCTGGGCAGACCTCTTGCAGGCCTGGGCTTGGCCATGGGCCCTGGGGAGGGCCTGCTGGGTCTTGCATGGAGGAAGACCCTCGACTCAGGCTAAGGAGAAGCCCAGGAATAGCTGTGGACTTTGAGCTGGAGGGGCCAGGGTGAATGCAAAGGCTGTCTCATTCCATCCCCTGCCTCCATGCGGTGGCCCCTACATGTGAAGATCTGGAGGGGGTCCCAGGGCCTGCAAGGAGCTGGTCTACCCCCTCTTCCCTCCTACTCTGCAACCTGGAATTGCAGCACTGCCTCTGCCCCTCAGGTAGCCAAGCCTGTCTCCTCACCCTCCAGACAGGGTCCCAGCTCCAGAGAGGCCTCTGGGAGCCGGGAGAACAGGGGGGACTACACAGCTCTGTCTCACCTTCAGAGGCCCCTTCAGTCGCTGGCTGTGGGGTAACTTGGGGGGAGGAGCTGGCCACAGGTGAGTAAGGCAGGGGGCTCCGGTCCAGCCTCAGCCGTGGGAGGCCTGCCTCGCCAACGCTGCTGTGCCTTCAAAGACCAACATGTGATATGCGGGCAGAGGTAGCCAGTTAGCCACTGTTCCCCACCCCCCGCCGGCCGATCTGTCACCTTGGGTTTTTATATCCAGTCTGTGAATTTCATATCCAACGGCAATACTTGCAGGGAGGCGTGGTCCCCTGCAGTCCCTCCAGTCTTGGTTTTTACAAAATTATTAAAGAGGAGGGAGGACCCCAAGCAGAGGCCCCCGGAGCATGGGGCTCCCTCTCTCACTTTGTCTTGCCTCCAGGCCTGTTTGCTGCCCTGATGAGCAGCTTGACCCTGGGTTCACTGTGGAGGGAGCTCTGTCTTCATACCACAACCCAGCCCAGAGCCAGGGATCCATCTGTAGTTTTTTTTGACAACCGAGCATTTATCTTCTGTACAGAATCTAATAAAAACTTCCTATGATTTGCACCAGGCAGTCCGAGGCCGATTTCATGGGAACACTTAGAACCTAACAGCACCGCTGGCCAGCTGCCCCTAAACGTCTCTCCCTCTGGGTCCTGAATTCCTCCGCTAGTGCACCCTTCCTTTGGGTTGGACTTGCCCCTTTCTCTGGGCAAATCCAGCGGCCCCAACCCAGCGAGTGAGTCAGACCTGGGGCAACAGCAGGATGGAGCGGCCTGGTGGGCTCCAAAGCCCTAATAAAGGGCGGAGATGACCTATGAGTGCAGATGGCAGCCCCTGCCCAGGTTTGGCTTCAGGGACCACTAACCCCAGTGAGGCTGATTCTGGAGAGCGAGAAAGGCAGAGCAGTTTGAGCCGTGCCCAGGGGAGGAGGACCCATTGTGCCGGTTGACCCGCCCACCAGCCTGGGTTGGAATTCGGAGGACGTGCCCTGGGTCCGCGATGTAAGATCGCCACCTGGTGGCCTGCAGAAGGATTAGTGTTGGGAAGTTGAGACCCGAGAGGCCGCCCCGGGACCACCACTGCAGGACCCCCGCCCCAGCACCGGAGAGCCCGCTGGGTGGTGCGGTAGGGGAGCCGGGTCGCCCCCTCCCCGCGGTCTGACCAGGACGGGTTTAGCACACGGCAAGGCAGGGGCAGCCCAAAATGAGAAACGTTTTATACAAAGTTGATGTTGGTATTTCAAGAAGATTCACCTAAGTAGGCATCATGGGAGAAATTAGAACCTTCGTGGCCTCTTTATATCCATTTCAGAAGTTCGCACTGTCCTTATTTTGAATTTCAAGCTGGTGGGAGGAGGTGCTAGGATCTCTTCCTGGGCTCAGGGCAGGGTCCCTGTCCTCCACCCCCAGGCTTCCCCTCGAGGGCCGGGAGCCCCGGATTCGAGTCCGGGCACAGCAATGACCTCATTTTAGGACGAGTAAACCGTGGCACAGCACTCCCAGGGTTGTCAAGGGTGGTGGGCTCCCTGGAGGCCCCAGAGGTCCGGAGTCGGGGGCTCTGCGGGGCTGGGGTCTTTTCCAAGTGGGGAGAAGTGAACTCTCCCTTGAGAGGAGCCGGGGTGTGCCCTAGCAGCCCCCAAGTTGGTGCGACAGTGCGCGGCGTCCCTACCAGAAGCCGCGCGGAGCCAAGCGTCGGGTGGCCGGGGCGGTAGGTGGAGCATCTTACCGGGCGGGGCCACAGCGCTGAGCGGGCGCTGGGCAGGATCGCTAAGGAGGGGGCTTCCGAGAGGGCAGACTTAGGAGCGTGCGCCAGCGGGTGGGCCGCGCCGCGTGCGGAGGGGGTGGGGATCCCTGGAAGCCGAGTGGGTCCAGGATGGGGATGGGATGGGGGCCCCTTGCCGGGGGGGGCGGGGCCTGGCGCGCTTTGTGCCGGTGGGAACCGGGCGTCCCTGGCCGGCTGAATGGGCAGGGGCGGGGCAGCGATTCTCCTCGCTGCGAGGGGTCCGCTCTGTGCTGCTGCGGACGGCAACCTTCCCACCGCGGCGCGGCCGCGGGGCGGGGACGAGCTGCCCGCCAGGGGCCCTGGGAAAGGGGCGCAGCCCGGGACACCCACCCCCAGCCCCACTGGAAGGTGGGAGGAGGAGAAAGCGGGTCCGGCCTAAGTGGGTAGGGTTGGGGTGGGGGGTGGGTTATGCCTAGACGCGCAGAACCCGGTCCAATCGTAGCTTCGTGTATTTCCCCGAGTTCGAAGAGACGCGGCACCCTCCCGGCCACCCCGTCCCGGGACCAGAACCGATGACCGGAGTCCCGGCCGTCCAAAACAGTCTCTGCGTCCCCAGGCCAGACGAGGGCCTCTGTGAGTCCGAGGCCGTACCTGATCCTCACCAGGGCCGCCACAAGCGCAGCCCCGGCCCCGTGCTCTCGGCGAAGCGGCGAGACGCCGACTGCGGCGCGGGGATGCTGGTGGACTGACCGGGGACGCCTCCAGAGAAGAGGAGCCGGGGTGGCGGGGACCGCGAGCCGGCGGCGGCCGGAGCAGGGGCCCAAACTGGGGGGGCGCCGGGGCCGCGCTGCGCGGGCGCCTCGGGGCCGGGACTGGCGCTGTCCATGGTGCTGCCACCCGCGCGCTCGTGCGCCAGGGGGCAGCGCAGACCGTCGCCGCCCTCCTCTTCGCGCCGCAGAAGTTGGCTAACGCCCGGCAGACAGCCGCGGAAGCCCGACGGGTACTCGGCTCCGCTGGGGACCGGCCAGAGCCCTGGGGGGAGGGGAGCGGATGAGAGAAATGCGGAAAGGAGGGGAGAGGAGGAGGAAAGGAAAGATGGAGAGAGGAGAGAGCAAGGGAGGGGAGAAGTGTGGAGGGAGGGAAAGAAGGGAGGGGAGCAGCCCGAACCCGCTCCCCCCTTCCCGGGTCCAGACCTTCGCCTACCCGGATTACAACTCCACAGCCAGCCGGGCTTTTGCTGCCTGCCCACTCACAGCAATATGGGGCCCCCTCGTCACTCAGCTGCCCACTGCCCTGAGCAGTTCTTCTCTGTCCATCCCTCCTTTATCTGGCCTTGTAGAATCCGTGGCTCTGACCCCACAAGTTCCCCCCGCCTCTTCGCCCGACTCCCCAAGCCATCCCGCTACCTTGCACCGAGTTCTGAAGGCTTTTCATGTACTTGACGCTCAGCTCCAGTATGTCTGCCTTCTCCAACTTGCGTTTCCGGATCTGGGGATCCGTGGAAAGGGCTCTCAGCACCGCAGCCTGGGCTGGAGCGGATGGGGCTGGGGACCGTATCATCCCTCACCTCCACCGAGTCCCCTTCCTCACCTGGTGCGAGTAGTGTTTCTCTAGCAACGATCTGAGCTGCTCCAGCGACACATTAATGCGCGCCCGTCGCTTCTTCTCCGTCAGCGGCTTGGAGATCTGTGGGTGAGCAGCAGTTAGGGGGCAGGGCCTTGGCCCTCTCGCGCTCTGCCTCACCCCTCACCCCCGCAGCCCTCAGGACCCCAGACCTTGCGGAAGTTGCCGGCGGGAACGCCAGAGCTGCCCTGGGTCTCGGACTCAGTGCCCATGTTGTCGTAGCGGAGACCACTGGAGGCGGCACCGCCTTTATAGGGGCCCCTCGTTTACATGTCAATGAGGCGCTCCTGGACTTGTGGGACCCCCCAGGGGGCGAGGGTGAGAGAGGGACAAACTGGGAAGCTCGGCACCTCCCTCTGCCTCTTCTCTTCCCTTAGTCCAGGCCTCACCTCCAGGACCCCTGCTCCCTCCTGAGGGACCACCTTTACCCCTTCTCAGTCTTTTTTTTTTTTGTCTGCGTTGGGTCTTCGTTGCTGCGCATGGGCTTTCTCTAGTTGCGGTGAGCGGGGGCTACTCTTCGTTGCGGTGCACGAGCTTCTCATTGAGGTGGCTTCTCTTGCTGGGGAGCACGGGCTCTAGGCGCGCGGGCTTCAGTAGTTGCGGCACACAGGCTCAGTAGTTGTGGCTCGCGGGCCTAGTTGCTCCACAGCATGTGGGATCTTCCCGGACCAGGGACCAAACCCGTATCCCCTGCACTGGCAGGTGGATTCTTAACCACTGTGCCACCAGGGAGGTCCTCTCAGTCTTTCCTTTCTCCCTCTCACCCTCACCGCTGCCTGAGTCTGGAATTCCTTCCCGTGCCCATCCTCTTCTGTCCCAGTCTCCCTAAGTTCTGGGCCTCACCACCAAGCCCACTGAGGGAGGTCCATGGGCCCAGATGGCTGCAAGACCCACTAATGACTATGACTGAGCACCGGGCCTCCTCGCGCCTGATGAAGACGCGGAGGCAGGGAGCAGCCACCAGCGAGGCCTTTCTGCCGGCTTCACGCTCGGGCCGCGCTGGCGATGCCACATTACTCACCCTAATGTCGGGACAATACAGCAATTTTCTGCCTGTGGCCACTCAAAGCCAGGTGCAGAGCAGGCCCGCGGGGGCCAAGCAGCAACTTGTGTCCCATTAAAGCATGCAGCCCGCCCGCGGGGCCACAGCCAGCCTCCTCCTTGGGGCCTCGGGACTGGGAGCCGTCCTGCGTCGGGATTCAGTCTGGTCTCAGGGGCCCTCCGGCCCTGTTAGGACCCAACTCACACTCTTCAAACTGGGGGGCAAGCTGCAGGCAGCCTCAGGCCAGGGCAGTCAGAAAGGCCTCCCCCACCCCCAGTCCTGAGTTTGCAGGCTGAAAAACTCAGGCTCTGAGGACCTTTCCCTCACAGGGAAGGCCTAGGAGTTTATTCCCCCCACCACTGCCCTTTGACCTTCTCTGGGTCCCAAGAAATGGGAGGTGGTGGTGAAGACCACTGAGCATCTGGGGAGAGCACCGTTCTGCACGTTTGGAGGTCCGGGATGTCAACCCCTTTTCATTATTCAGGCTGTGGCTGAAGACCCAAGGAGCTCAGAGGAGGAGACACCTGCCCCCGGACCCGCTAGGCCCTATAGCAGGACTGCGGTGCAGTCCCTGCTTGGGCTTCAGGAGGCTGGGCTCCAGGAGCTGGGAGGGACGGGAAAACTGACGTCTGCGGGAGTCCCTGGGTTCAAACCTACACAGCTCCCTTTACTGAGTTCCCTTGGCCTCAGTGAACATGCGGCCCCTAGCGCTGCTTGTGAGGGCGCTGTGGAAGTCGCAAGGACCCAAAAGTTCGGCAGTGGAGCCCTGCTAACGAAGACTGAACAAACTGGCCTTTGCGGGGTCCAAGTGGGAGGGGGAGGGGAAACTGCTGGGTCCTTGGTGGGCCCCAGCTCCATCCTCTTACCCATCCACCCCCGCTCGGGGTATTGATGGGCCCCCTGCCCGGCCGTGGCGTTCCCAGGCGCCAAGCAGCGTGGAGAATCGCTCCCCGCCCTCCTTTCAGGCGGAAGCGCCGGTGACAGCGGCTCCAAAGTGTTCCTTCGCCCCGGCCGCAGGGCCCGCCGGTCAGATCCGGGCCGGGCCCGGCCCAGGGCGGG